TGTGTGTGTGTGTGTGTGTGTGTGTGTATGTCTGTTGAATGTTTGAGCGTTTTTTTGGAAGGTTTGTATTTATTGAAAATCTATATATTTGTTTTCCCTTTTTTGTCTTTTTCTCTGTCGTTTCTTCAGGATCCCAGAACAAAGCATAAATTCAAGATCCACACGTTTGGGAGCCCGACCTTCTGTGACCACTGTGGCTCTCTGCTGTACGGCCTTATCCACCAGGGCATGAAGTGTGATAGTGAGTGCTTTGTGTGCAACCCGACTCACGTATTTTAACACAAAACAAAACCAAAACACCGCTCAAATGCCAACTCTACTCGCCAGTCACAACATTCGGAATTTGTGCTGGGAATTACTCCATTGTGAGGAGAATAAAGGTTTTCTTATTCTTATTAAAAAAGAGGCCTTGCCATTAATGATCTCTGAAAATTTAAAGAAAGGTTTCAATGAAAGAATAATTATGAAATAGTGCGGGTGTACCTAATGTGGCTTTCGAACAGGGGTGTCCAAGCTTTTTCGTTTGAGGGCGGCATGCACAAAAATGGAACTTCAAAATTCTTCAATATTTTGACACACGAAAGTCAGTCAAGACAGCAGTGTTGTATATATTGGTTGTATTGTCTCGTTAATGTCATCAGCTTTGTGTTAAAGGTGTTAAGGCAAATTGTTGAGGATTTTTCCATATTTTAGGGGTGGCCAACCGCCGTCTATCTCACAGAGTAGACCCGGCTCTGCATTTACCAACAGCTAAATCCCATGTCCATATTCAGAACCAAAAAAAAAGAACAAACTGTAGCAAAGTCACCATTTTTCAAACACTTACTTGAGGATCATTAATGTGATGTCTTCATAAATCAACCATAGAGCACAAAGTGGAAGAAACAATCTTTGCCCCTAAAATTGAATTAACTTCTCACTAACTTATTCACTCCAGTGTTTTGAAGATAAATTGTTATTCTTTTCATTATAAATGCTTTACTTGTATCCTCGAATAGCAAGTTAAGTTCTACACTATATAAACAAATTTATGAGTATTAATGGCACCTATTTTTCTGGCACTTTTCCCTTCTCACTCTGCCCACCTTCACCTTGATTTATCTATCTATCTCTCTATCTATCTATTTACATTTTATTTTTTGGGTCACGTCGCGGGCCACTGAAAAATCGATGGTGGGCCGCAAATCGCACCTGGGCCAAAGTTGGGACACCACTGCTTTAGAGCATTCAGTATAGGTCCCATAAAATACAAGATCATGCGTTATCTTAAATGCACTGTGCACATGCAAATCAAATTAGACCCTGCCAGTAAATGTGAAATATTGATGTAATGGTTGCAGCTGGATCATATGCTCGAGTATGCGATATGAGCTGCATGATGCGATGTTGTATAAATGGTGTGAGCATTTGTAATGACACTGAGTATGGTCATTACACAGTTCATGCTGAAACAAAAGCGAACGGCGACTGTAGAAACCCAAAAAGAAAAATGGCTGAAAAATCTGCGAGATTGTGGAGGAACAAACGATGAAGTGCAATATACGGTAACGCAGTCCTCAATGTTATTCTAAAACATGTGGATCAAACACTTTTTTTTAATCTTGTTCTCCAGCGTGTGATATGAACGTCCACAATCAGTGCGTCATGAATGTGCCCAGCCTTTGCGGGACCGACCACACGGAAAGGAGGGGGCGCCTTTTCCTCAAGTGTGAAGTCAACGGCGAGAAGCTTCAGGTCACGGGTAGGTCGACTGATCATTTGCTTAATGGGTACATCGCTGCTCGAGTGCACTTGTCTCAGCGAGAAAATGCTGGCTATTGGCCTGTTTCCTCTGTGACCTCGGATCAGATTTAACACAAAGGCCATCTCATTTGATTCGGAAAGTCACCCTCAATCCTCTGATACCATTAACCTGAATTAAATCTCTCTGGCCATTTATTCTTCCCACTTATTATGCAGTCAGTCTCACTGCTAACAACCTGGCCGACTCTGCTGCTATCAGTTATCAGTATGGCATAACAACAATTCCCCCATTTAGAAAACAAATCAATAACTCTGCTGGAAGAAACAACAACACAATCGGAATGGAAATCCTAAAGTGAATAGTCCAGAAGTGGTCCGCCACATGGGTTACTATATATTCAAAGAGTTTGGACTGGGCTAGCAAGAGATACGGATGGAACTCACTTGTATCTCAATTATTATTAGCTGATGCAGTGTTCACCAATCAGATCTTTCGATACAATATGCAGACTTTTCTTAGTGAGAATTTACTGCCCCTCAGATTTTATGTTGATTCTATTTATGCTGATGTGATGGCCGTCTCTTAAAGTGAACATATTATGCAAATGTGGCTTTTAATTCCCCGTATGCACATTTTTGGGTCTCTGAATTGCCTGACCACCCATCATGTGTGAATTACACACCCAAGTCATTTTTGTGTTCGCCAATTTATGAAACATGTCTTACTAACCACAAAAGCTGAGTTGCGCGGCAGTTCAGATGCAAATACGCACTAATGTTGCATGATTTGTAGTCCCGAGCCAGAATAACGCACCCTGGTTGAACTTTACCAACTTGTCAACATTATAAAAAGAACATTTAACAAACGCCTTACTTTAATACGCTAAATCCTCTCGCTCTAGGTCCTACTCCGGTTCAAACATATATGGCTGTACATCTTATTCTTTCTCTTGTTTGGTTCTCTATTTTTGCCCTATATATTTTTTCTCTTATATTTTTCTCATCAGTTGCCCCGGTAACACAAAGAAAGATGTTCTCATTTTGGCACACCCCGCAGTGGAGGGGCACAGGGTGACCACTGGCTCAGTTGCATGAGACAGACCAGTCCTTTAAAAGCAGCTAATCTCATTTAAAGGATCATTTTATATGGACACAGTCAGTGGTAAATGCTTTGTTTTCTGAACTAGTACCCTCCATTTTAGTAGAAACCATGCCTCAATTAATGGGCAAGGTCTATCATCCACTTGAAACAAAATGGTGACTCTCCTCAAATAAAATGGCTCCTCTTTTCCCCCCTGGAAAAAGGATACTGCAATTACCTCCATTCATAGTGCCCATTTGTGTGAACAAAACGTGTTGGAACAAAAAAAACAAAACCCAGCAGTGTTCCTACGTTCACTTGACAATACACTTGAAACATGCATGACTCAGCAGGTGTGAAGGTTCATACACCGGATTTCCGTGTACGATACAATACAATACAATACATGCTGATTTATATAGCGCTTTCACAACAAAGCGCTTAAGTAAACAGTTAATGTAAAGTAAAATAATCATCACAACACATAACATAGTAGCAAGTGTGGTTTCAATTCTGTCTCAGTGGCAGTTTGGATTTGAGTGTGAGAATTGTCTATCTCTGTTTAAACCCTGCACATTTGTGACTCTGATACACTTGACGTAGATCCTATTGATTTGTCTTTTCGAGCGCCTCTTTTTGCCCGTAGATGAGCAAGCATCTGTAGTAGCTTTATACTGCTACTCTCTGGGGTTTCCTGAGATTTGCTGTGGTACATTTTTACTCACATTGTGTCCTCTGTTCCTTGTTCTTTTTCATTCCGACTTGTAATTGCAATGGATAGTTTTAATAAATGAGTGGCTCCCAGAGATAATTTTTTTTAACTTCTAATTAAACTGGTAACGATTGGCTGAACAAAACAATGAGGCAATAATGTTGTCTGTCTCATTAGCAACTAAACACCTCCAGCATGTCAAATATATCAGTAGTTGTGTCATATGGTCAGAAAAGGCAAAGTACTCCCACTCTGTACTGAAGTAGAAGTACAGTGATCCCTCGCTATTTCGCGGTTCGTTTATCGCGGCTTCAGTGCATCACGGATTTTTTCAAACATATTCATTAAAAAATATATATATTTGTTTTTTTTTTCATATACATGGAGTACAGTACTGTATATGTTGCTCTATGTGACTCGCTGTTGTTTTGCAGCTTCTCACGGACCGTTTGCGGACTTTTTGTGGACTTAAAAAAAAATTGTTTATTGGTCGCTACTTTGTGGATTTTCGTTTATCGCGGGTGGTTTTGGTCCCCATTAACCGCGATAAACGAGGGATTACTGTATAGCTACAGTATGGGTACAAAAAAAAAGACTGGTAAAAGCAGATGGACTGATTTGAATCCTTTACATAAGTAAATGTTCAAAAGTACAGACTCTGAAATGTAACTGTAAATACAAAAGATGAGACTTTTGTACTAAGGTCCATTCCACTTTCACCATTGTGGTGGCAGAGAATTGATTTAATTCAAGGCTATTGCACATTGCTTGGTTGCTCTTCATGCAGGTTTCTGCAATGCAGTACGCGATGAGGAATGCTTGCGGTCAGTTGGCAATCACAGCAGAACATTTCGTAATGTGATGAAGGAATTCTGAGGTACATTTCCGAGGCTCTCTTAATCTCTGAAAATCCTCTTTCTGCAATTTGTTAATTTTGAGCTCCGAGGGCAAAAGAAATATCCTGATTATGCTTGCTCTGTTTAAACTGTCATTAAATATATAGTTGTCTCTTTAATGCAAAAGCTTTTTGTGAATGCAACAAGGTACCCTGTAGGGATGAACGTTTATTCATTCATTCATTCATCCATTTTCCGATCCGCTTTATCCTCACAAGGGTGGCGGGGGGTGCTGGAGCCTATCCCAGCTGTCTTCAGGCAGTAGGTGGGGGACACCCTGAACCGGTTGCCAGCCAATCGCAGGGCACACAGAAACGAACAACCATTCGCGCTCACACTCACACCGAGGGACAATTTGGAGTGTTCAATCAGCCTGCCATGCATGGTTTTGGAATGTGGGAGGAAACCGGAGTACCCGGAGAAAACCCACACAGGAGAACATGCAATCTCCACACTTGAAGACCGGAGCAAGAATCGAACCATGCATCTCTGCACTGCGAGGCCGACGCACTAACCACTGGCCTACCGGGCCGCACAGAGAATAATAATAATTAATAATATGGCAATGGTTAAGGACATGGTTTGTAACACACACAAAAAAAAGTCGAGGTGCCCCTGAGCAAGGCACTGACAGCACCGCTCCAGCTCAAGAGGTTAAAAAAAGCTGTCCGCTTTTTTAAAGTATTGAAATACACTTTGTGTGATTATTTTGCAGGAAAGCTTGCAAAGACATACAATTCTAATTAGTAAAGCCACTTTTAATGACCATCTACTGGCTGGTGCGCCAATATTATTGACTGTTTATGTGGGAGTGCCACGGCAAGACTAGCAAAAGTATCAATCGGAATGATTTAATTCATTTATTCTTTTCTGCTTATTCACATTAGACCTCAATATTGCTTCGAATGTTTTGGCTGGAGATCTGTAGCACAATTTTCACATGTAATAACATCATTAAGGCTTGAGTAAATAACAATATAGTCTGTAAATTGATGTTAATATGCAGTGCTAAAAATTTCAAACTGACCGCAGCTTGTAATTCATGATGCACAACAGCCCGAATTGTGTAATGAGGCTGCTCTGTAAGCAGCGCAAGCGTCTGCGTTTGTCTGGAATGGCTTTTGCTTCTTATTTGGAGGCATGTTGTAAATCCTCGCTCTGCGATGACAGAGAATTAGCACATCGGCCAGAACAAAGATGACGACGGGGTGCAGACAGCGGTCTCATGTAATCATTCGATTAGCTGGCTCACTGAGGTCAGCGTGTCGTGAGGCACTGAACCTCAGTGACTCGTTCATTTATCAAATGAACAACAGGCGGAGGAACAAGTTAAATTATGGCTGGGAGGTGGGCAAGCAAAACAAATCAAAGCAGTTTCAACGTTGACATGTAGCCAATCAGGCAAAATACCCTTCAAAGAGTAAACACGACACAAAATAAACACAATTCTTACGATGCCGACCTGTGATGCAATGGGTCGACCATATAAGAACGTCTCGTAAAGTGTTCTTGTGAATATGTGTGTGCAGATTCTCAGTCTTCCAGGTCATGCTCACGCACAAAGGTTGAAGCAAAGTAACTGGACTTGTTCTTGTTTGCTGAAGACGTTTGCCTCACGTCGGTGGGTGTGTCACTTGGTGTCGGTCAACAACACAGTGTTATTTTTATTGCCTGGAAAATTGTCATGACTGTCCTGCATATCATTCGGTTGTAAATTCCCCTTATGGCAAAACAATTCTTTTGGGCCACTCTTCCTGTGGAAGGAGACAAACGTTTGTGTGGAGGGATGTCAGGACCTTGTTAGAAGCAGACGAAACTCTTCAAATTCTTGACCAATTTTGACCCGGGTTAATTTGTCAGAAAATATCAGAAATGCAGTTATGATACCAGACAGTTAATGTTATAATCGGGGCTTTCATAACACACACACACACACACACACACACACACACACACACACACACACACACACACACACACACACACACACTGTGATTGACTGGCGACCAGTCCACGGTGTATTCAGCTTCTTGCAGAAAGTCAACTGGGATAGGTTGCAGTTCACCTACAACTCTGAGGTGAGGAAATGTGCTGTAGAAAATGGATGGATGGCTTCTGTGCGTGTGCGTATGTGTGTGTGCATGTGTGTGTGCACGCGCACATGCACAGAAGTGATGTACTAATCGCACAGCCCACTCAGGCCATCTTGTATTACAGATTACATTAGCTGCTGTTGACGCCAAGCAGGCAGCCTTCCAAACAGATTTGAGTTACTCAGTTTAAATAGCATGTTGCGTGGCACGACGGGA